CTGTCTGAGTTGTATGTAATGTGTTTATAACTCATTTTCAAGTCGGAATCTTGCACCTGCGTGTACTTCAGTCCTCTTCGCGTTTGTATATTATATATGTTTTTTAATTATTCGCTGCTATTTTGACTGTGTGTATCAAAATATTTGTTATTGGTTCAAAAGTTTTGTAAAACTGACCCATGTGTTGGACCAATGTTTCTATGTTGGAACTTTGTTATTATTATTGAGTACTTTTTTACTGTGTTAACTTTGTGAGTAAAAACGTGTGTCGAAAAAGTTCCCCCTCTTTATAACATAATTGGCCATTGGGTTTTTCTGCTTAATTTTTCTTTGATGAATGGACATCCAAATGAATCAATTCTTTACAATTAGTTTTTAATTTGAAGTTTTATGTTATGTATTATTAAGGCCTACTTACTAATTCATTGAAGTTACTGTTTTTACTTTGTGAATTTATGTTGTGTAAAATACTCTTGTCATAGTCCCCCGCTGAAGACACAAAATTCAAAAAAGGGCACTTCTGCTAAGTTATGAGGTGGTTGTGTCTTCGTTGTGAATGACTCCCCGACTCCCCATACAAGTGAAACTTACCCCGTCACCAAAGTTGTATTTGTATTTATGTGTTAACCTTTTCTATGTATATTTTCTGGTCAATGTTCCCCCTGTGTATTCTTATTGCATGTTTCTGGCTTGTGTGTTGTGTTTAAAAAAAATATTTTGTTCTGACAGGACTGATGTGTGTGAACAGATAATTTTAAGAGGGGTGGATATTGTGTACTTGATTTGGACCCCTCCTTGTAAAAAAGGTCTGCGATGTTTCTGTGTGTTCCAAACATCTGTGTGTTAATTGTGTGTATAAATGGGCGGGCATGGATTATTTAAAAAAGTCTTGTTATTATTTTTCTATATATGTTGTTTATGTTAACACTATGGGTATGTGTGTTAACTTCGGTGTTCTGACGTTTGAACCGTCATTCAAGCCCGCATCCACAGATGAATAAATGGTGTCTGTAATTCTTTGGGTGTACCGGGCTCTTTTAAAAGTGGGAAACTATTTGTCAAAAATACTTCTGTGTTTTGTGTTGTGTTGTAGGCATTAATGTGTAGGTTTCGTCTTTGGTGGGCTGTGTGTATCACTTTGGATTTTCAATTCGGAAAATGCTTTTGCTGCTGGGACATAAGAACCATTCACACCCCGTTCACCGAGGATCATATACCTCCAAATACCCTTTGGAGGGTACTATATGTAATGTGATTGTTTCCTCCTCTATATATATGGTCTTTAGGTCAGATAACGGTCGAGTTATGAATATTGTTTTTTCTATAATCTCATGTTTAGGATGTTGTTGTCGCTCTCTCTGTGTGTAAGTTTTTTGGTTGTTGGGGTGGGGGGGGTTGGTTGGTGTGTGGTTTTCTACGAGTAAATGAAAACAGAATGAGGCGGAGAAGTGTGTGTGTGTGTGAGATTAAAATAGCCCAATTGCTTTTACAATAAATAAACATTGAATGTGTTTAATTGAATAGTAAAGGGGTTTAACGTTAGTGGCAGGTTGTGTGTGAGAGAGAATAAATAAGACAGCCCAATATTTAAAAAAATTGTTATTCTTTTCCCCCGCATATTTAGCATATTTCGCAACTTTCCGCATATTTCCTAACTTCCCGCAATTTCACCGCATAAAATCACATAAAACCCCGCATGTTTAATCGCATAATCAAGGATTTTAGCTCGCATAATCAAGGAATTTAGCCCGCATAATCAAGGATTTTTTCCCGCGTTTTTCTGGAGGGTCTAATTAGTGTTTCTTCATTTTTCTTTGTTTGTAATCAGCATTTTTTAATAAAGCTCGCCTTTTGTTAATGCTACTCAGTTCCCTTTTCTAGTGCGTTTGGGTCCTCATACCATTATCCTGACTGCTTCGTACATACATACTAAGCCCGCCCACTTTTTAGCAGTTCAAACTACGGTGGCCGACAGGCAGGGCCACCCCTGGCCAACTTGTGGCCCCACGCAAAGTTATGTGATGAGGCTGAAAAAGTTTGAGAAACACTGCGCTAGTGGATTGTCAAAGGGGGAGCCTCGTTGCGGGGAAATTATACAGATGGCTAGTCCGCCCCTGAAAATGTCTAAGCAAACGTTATTATTAATAATAATTGTTTTTAAAAATTGTAAAAACAAATAATCAATTTTTTTTTATAATTTTTTTTTTTTTAATTTTCCATTTTTATTTTGT